AAAATATCACTATGACACACTACCAATTCATCAGTAAATTAATTATATTTTTATAATTAAAATGTGGAATTATCTGTGCATTAAGCTCGCGTATATTTAGTTTGTCTCAAGGGTTAAGTAAATGTAAAATCAACTATCTGGGTAGATTCAAATTTACACAATTTTCATAGAGTATATTTTGATATTGATTATCAATTAATTTTAATTTCATTCTTATGACACCTGCTTGATGAATAAATTTTATAAAGACTGACAAAATAGTATTTCAAAATCAGCTGATAGTGAGTAGCGCACGAGTGTTTTTCTTATTTTTATTATCAGGAACATCAAAAAATTAATTCATTAATTGATTTTGAAATGATGGTGGAATATTATTACAGAGTGAGTCGTTGTAAGTGGTGGTTTTGTATTTGTGAAAAATTCGTGTCTAGTTTGAAAATAAATAAGTGTCGAACTGTGAGTTGCTGTAATTTGCAGGGTAATGTCGGCATTAATTTTTTTCGATTTCCAATTGACGAAAAAATGTATATTTTTCTAGTACTCATTATGTAAGATTGAAGAAATGAACATATGGCGAAAATTCATAAAATAATTTGTTATATACCATATATATGCAGACTTTTTTTATGAAATTAATTTGATGAAATATACGAATAGTATATGCCTCACAACTAAAGATAATAAAATGATAAAACAATCGAGTTCCACTGGAAATCCACAAAGGAAAATAATTGTTGAACCACATTTTTTGATTTGGCTAATTTGTATCTGTAGGAAAAATATTACTTCCACTGAAATCTCTGCAAAACCAAAATGTCAAATGTACATTCAAATAGCCTACTGTTGCATACTTTTTTACCAATTCATCCAAATCAATACTGGATGTAAAAAGTATTGTGACTGAAGCTGTTAGGCAATTATCAAAAATTGGATTAAGAGTAAGGGGTATCATTTCAGATTGAGGTTTTAATTTTCATACACTTGCCACTTGCCAGAAAAGATGTCAAAATGACCGTAGAGCAGTCATATTTCTCAGTTGATGAGAGAAAAATATTTTACTTTTTTGATACTCCTCATGTGCTGAAATGTAGCAAAAATCATTTTTTCGATGACTTTATGAAATTGATGAATTTACAACGAACAAAAATCATCTTGGACACCTTTACAACTTGGATAAGGAAAAGCAATATAGACTAGCACCCAAACTTATTGATTCTCATTTATGTTCAACTAATTTTCAAAGGATGAAAGTTAAATTAGCCAGTCAAATTTTCAGTCATTCGGTAGCTACAGCGATGAACAGTTATGCCAGTTTCAATCAGATACCATCAGCAGAAAAAGGGACGGCTACATTCATTGAAAAAATGGATAAAGTATTTGATATTTTGAATTCAAATCGATTCGACGATGTCAAACATTTCAATAAACCTTTTTTCGGAACATCAAAATTGAATGAAACAAATGCCTGCAGATTCATTTTTACAAAGTATCATCATTCATCTAGAGACAGAATTTCCTTATCATTTTCATAATTTATGTGCCACTGACTGCATAGGCAACCAGCTAAAAACAATGTTTTCAAAAATCAACATTTGTCACCCTTGTGATAATTTTCTTCAGGATTATTTATTTTCTCTTTTCACAAGGGTAAGAATTTATTATGCTTTGAAATTAACCAATAGAAATTTGAAAACAAATGTTAAAAAAAAACAAAAACTCCTCATTCTGAAAAACCTTTTGAATAGATTAGAATAAGTTTTTGACCTAAATTGTATAATCTCACCTTGTTTATAAACAAATTCAAAAACTCCCAATATCTTATAAACCATCAAACTGAATTGAATAATTCGTTTCTGTTCATTTCCAGGTGAAAATAGTTAGGTATATTTACGGTACTTTCGAAAAATTTATTGATATAGTTAATGAATTCATACGTGACCGTTTCATGTTAGAGTATAAAACGGTTGTAATTTGAAAGTAACTTTTAGTTTATGCTTGAGAAAGCTATTGTATAGCGAAACACGTGTCGCGGTTTTTGTAAAACCCTCTATAGTAAAAATCATACAATAAACTGTATTTATCAGTTTTAATATGGATTTTCATCACGTTTCGGCCAGTTTTATTCAATGAATTTTCCTTTGGATTATTCATTTTCTCTTCTCACAAGTACTTATGATGCACTGTTTGGAACCACAAGGGTAAGAATTTATTATATTTTGAAATTTGCCAATAGAAATTTGAAAACAAATGTTCCTCCTGCCCCACCACATGCCAGCAAAAAATAAAACCTCGACCCGATACATCAAAGACGCCCACCTGGAGTAAATTTACTTGTGTTTACTTTTCTATATGGTGGCCACATTGACATTTTTTCATGTACATTTTAATTACATCTATTATACAATGTGTGTACGATTTCAAACCGCATCACCCCGTTATTCCGGAACCTATGAACCGATTTTGAAAAATGACAATTTCAAATTATGGTACTCGACGATGTTGACAGATATGAATTATTCTCATTTTCAAGGCTCATTATGACCTGCAAAATGGATCGAAATTTCGAGAAGGACCACTAGGCATTTTTTATCGGAAAAGTGGATACCCTCATTAGATTTGGGCATATTTCGGGACATCTAGATTAAACGTTTCAGCCCAATATCTCATCCAGGGTGTTAGTTATATGATGACAAATTTCCAAATCCATGATTTTTTGACTGACCCCGTATGAAAGTCTATGGACTTCACGTGAAAAGTTGAAGTAACCATTCAATGAAATAATACTTCTTAAACTCAGCTACTAAGTTACATAGGTTGTAATTGTTTCATGGAGTTGTCTCTAGTTTAATTAAAATCAATAAATCAAAATTTGAAAACGTGTTTTTAATTTTAGAAAAATTACCAACAGAAATGAATTAAATGATAAATGAAATTGTTTTTTCATGTATTGGAGTTTTCAATATATCCTCCTTTAAGCTCTATACATTTTTCATAACGCCGTCAGAAATTTTGGCGGGTCTTCCTCAATTGACTTGGTGTTATTTCACCATACTTGTGGCTTATTCTCCTCTTCAATTCTTTCAAATTTCGTGGTCTATTTCTATAAACATTTTCTTTCGAATATCCCCACAGGAAAATATCTACTGGAGTCAGGTCTGGTGATCGAGGGGGGCAACAATTAAAAGGGCAGTTCCTTCCAATTCATCTTCCCTGAAATTTTTCATCAAGATATTGCCGCACAGCAATCACATTGTGAATGCGTTCTTCAATGCTTAGTCCTTCCATGAAATCCAAGAATTTCGTTGTCAAAAAATTATAAAATTCTCCACCGTTTAGTTCGTTTTCAAAAAACACTGCACCTATTACTGTAGGATAGCGTTTTCTTTTTTAATTCATGTTTATTTCTTAGTTTAAATGCATTAAATTGCTCTTGGCAACAGTGTCACTAAACCCTAAAGTAATGTTTAATTTCTGGGCAAACGGATGGTCCTGTTCCTCAGAAAAAGGGTTCGTGAATTTTATGCAATGATCACGACTCAGGCAAATGCAGGTACAAGGGCAGTCAGTCGTAAGAGTCACTGAACAAAACATTAAGACGTTAATGACGAATCGACAGCCGAATCGATATTTTCCTTTTACCTTTTTGTTCAGTGCTGCATTCAATTTGTAATAATAACTGATTGATATTCTTATGTGCCGTATATCTATGTTCTAATTGTGCCAGTGTTTTAACCAGTTATTGTTTTTCTATCGTTAATATACGTTTTTTATTCTTGTTGCATCTAGGGCCTAATTAACATACTCCCTAGACAATGATAACAAACCTACATTTTGGGGGCTCAACCGGAATTGCAAAGAATGCGACCTTGATGAAATGTGGTAGAAAACGACTGGACAAGCTTAAAAGTGGTTTAAACAAAAGTTCCAATAATGCTATAATAGATGAAAGGCGGTGAAAATAAGTGAGAGGGGTGGCAAGGAATCAAAAAACGAAAATCGTTCAATCTAGCGATTGCATTCTTTTTTTTTGTATTTTTGTAGTCTTGATATGACCCAAGGCTTTACCCAAATACCTGTTGCTTATAGATCAATAGATAAACAGCTTTCGTAACGCAGGACGGACAATTCGAATGCCCATTGGGCTTTCGACCGCTCCAGCGACATTTCAAAGATTTTTAATTTGTTTTCCGAACTGCGTCGCGAAAATATTACTATATATTTAAACGATATTCTCATTTCTTCAATAACAATCGAAGAAAGTCTCCATCTACTAGAAACTGCATTCAAAATATTAAAAAAAATCAATTCGAAACTGAACATATAAGAATGTATTTTTTTGAAAAAAGTATCAATTATTTGTTTCAAGTCCGAACTAGTGAAATTCAGTATCAATTACTTGGGATACGAAATAGATGGTAATAGAATACGTCCAAGCCAGCACAAAATAACGGCTGATTCAGAATTTCCTATTCCCAAAAATCTTCAAGAATTACGACAATGTTGGGGTCTTAGTTCTCATTTCCGAAAATTTATAAAAAACCATTACTCATTGTAGCCCAAACCTCTAGATCACTTGATGATGCCATCTTAATTGTTACAGTTCTGACGAGTAGTAGTAAAATGCGTAAATTCAAAGTATTTTTCACTTTGAATTTTCGCAGTAACTCATCGGAATAAACTGAAAAGTTTGCTCTTTCTAGACGTGTATAATGTTCTCTATTACAATTTTTAAAATTTTCAGATTGTGGAAGGTGAAGATATCCAAAGAAGGTCGCAAAACTTTACTGTTGTTCAATCAATCTTCAGTAGTCGATATACACTCATGTTATCAACCTCAAGTTCATATTAACTGAATATCTGCTATTCTTTTCCATATTTTTTATACGGAATGAGTATGATTTTTCATTCTACACTCAAGGACATTTTCTCACAAACAAATCTTTAATTTTGCACGTTCTCTGATGAATATCTTTATAATTAAGAAACAAAACATATATTACCTAATATAAGAAGGAGCTCTTGAGCTCTCCCAAGAGCAAAAACAGGAATAAGGCATCTTCCACCTCTATTGACAATGTCATGGACTAAACTTGTAAATCTGCTCTCACGATCCTCTCGTTTTTCATGAATATGTGTGCCATAAGTTGATTCCTGAAATAAAATATATGGGATAATCCAGCACCACAGCTTGGTAGGTCTTCGATTAACCTTTCTAATATATCCCCATAAGGATTATTTTCACAACGTTTCGGCAAAGTCTCATTTGCCATCTTCTGGTGATGTCTGGTTTTTTCAAGTAGAATGATTAGTTCGAACTCTGTGTCTCAATTTATAGGGATGGATGTTTCCCTTTACCTGCGTTGCTGCCACTACCTGTGTTTGCTCGACTACAAGTTGTTTTGCTTCTGGGGTTGAGCGGTCTGATTGCTTGTGAGAAGCGATAAAACGGATCTCCATGTTGATGGCAATCTTTGCACATCATCCCTCTTGTTCATATTATTACGTCATTTTTCAATTTTGATAGCCTCTCTGATTGTTCGCGAGTAAAAATTTTCGTTGCTTGCTAGTATTTTTGTGTTATCGAAATTGATGTTATGTCCTGTCTGCAGTACGTGTTGGAAAAGAGAAGACGTGGTGACTTTTCCCTTCATTGCTAGTTTGTGTTCATCTTTGCATATGTTGATTCGTCTGTTGGTGTGGCCGATATAAGTCCTGTCACAATCATGGCATGGTACTTCATATATTCCTTGTGATTCCAGGGGTATCTGATCCTTGGGATTACGAAGCATGGACCTTATTGTCCGTTCTAGTACAAACGAAGTTGATATGTTGTGTCGGAGAAGAATTCTGCTGATTTTATCTGTTGTTCCTGCAATATATGGTAGTGTGGTTGTTATTACGGGTGTATCTCGAGTTTTTTGTTGTTTCCATGTGGTCTTGACAGCCGCTTTTATACTTCTTTCTGAGTAGTTATTCATTTGTAGAGTTATTTCGATGGTGTTCAACTCTTGTTGTCTGTGATCGTTGTCTGCCAGCCTCCTCGAACGTGTAATGAGTGTTTTTGCCACCGGGTGAATTTGTTTTGGGTGGTGGTGTGAATTTGCATTTAGGTACCTATTCGTGTGTGTTGGCTTTGGATATACCGTGTGACCTAATGTACCGTCCGGCTTTCTTATAATCAGTACATCGAGAAATGCGAGCTGGTTGCCTTCTTCAACTTCTTGCGTAAATTTAATGCGTGGATGGATTTCACTCAAGTGATTAAAAAACCTAGAAAGTTCCTGGTGTCCATGAGACCAAATCACGAAGATGTCATCGACATACCTCAGCCAGAGTTTAGGTTTCAAGTGTGACGTTGCTATTGCTTCGGTTTCGATTTCTTTCATAAAGAGATTGGCAACAACGGGTGATAGTGGCGAGCCCATTGGTGTCCCTTCAATTTGTCTGTATCGTTGGTCGTTATAGATGAAGTAAGTGTTTTTGATACAATGTTCCGCCAAGGTGATGATATGCTCTTCCGGTTTGTATTTCTTTTTGATTATTTCTAGTGCCTCTCCGGTGGGTACCTGGATAAATAACGAGGTTACATCAAAGCTGACAAGGATGTCGTCCGGACTAACGGTTTGTGTTTTCAATATGTCTATGAGGTGGTCGGCATTGCGCACATATGAATCGACCTTTTTCGCATGTGGTTGAAGTACATGAACAACGTGTTTCGCTAATTGATGCACTGGTGAACCTACCGAGCTCACGATTGGTCTGAGTGGTGCCCCTTCCTTGTGGACTTTGGGGAGTCCATAAAGTTTCGGGCACTTGGATGATTTCTCTCTTGGAATCAGATGTCTTTTGATTTCGTCGTCGATAGGAGAATTATTGATGGCAGTTTTCGTGGTTTTCTCTAGATAGGTAGTTGGATCTCTAACTATTTTCTTGTAGACTGGATCCTCTAGAAGTTCAATCATTTCGGATTCATAATCTATGATGTTTAACACTACTGTTGCATTGCCTTTGTCTGCTGGTAGGATGATGATATCCTCATTCTCTCGTAGATTTTTCAGTGATTGGTATTCATTATGGGGTATATTTCTGGTCGGCGGTTTTGCATTTTTGAGTACGTGTGCAATGTCCTGTCTAATTGACTCTTGCGTCTCATTGTCGTCTATTCTATTCCTCATAGACATATTGAAAACACAAACCGTTAGTCCGGACGACATCCTTGTCAGCTTTGATGTAACCTCGTTATTTACCCAGGTGACCACCGGAGAGGCACTAGAAATAATCAAAAAGAAATACAAATCGGAAGAGCATATCATCACCTTGGCGGAACATTGCATCAAAAACACTTACTTCATCTATAACCACCAACGATACAGACAAATTGAAAGGGGAACCATTGGGCTCGCCACTATCACCCCTTGTTGCCAATCTCTTTATGGAAGAAATCGAAACCGAAGCAATATCAACGTCACACTTGAAACCTAAACTCTGGCTGAGGTATGTCGATGACATCTTCGTGATTTGGTCTCATGGACACCAGGAACTTTCATATATACATTTTTCTATCAATGATGCGTCCATCAATTTGCAATTTACATCTGATGCTGCGTCCACCGCACTATTGCGTCCGTATACTGGACGCAGCAGTACAATCTTTCAATTTCCATCTCCTTCCATTGCATTACCTCATATAACGCATTTTTCTGTTGGAAGATTGGTTATCGGAACCACCCCTTGCGTTCGGACCATTTTCTAACAGCCAATCAGAAAACATTGCTGCATATTGATATTACATTCGGACGCAGAATTCAAGGAAGTTTGAAAGAAAATAAATATTTTCAGTTGGAAGGAATACCGCCAGAGGCGCTCATAAATATTCGTTTTGAATATTTAAATTTCAATTTAATAATAATGCTGCCTGCGTCCATCAATTTGGCAACACTGCAGATTGTGTACGGAAGGCAGTTGTTAGTATTTGAATTCACATTTAATATCTGTTCGTGTATGTACATTTTTGATAAAAATGAGTACAAGTGGTCGGGGTGTCAGAATACTGAAAATGCTTGGTAAGGGGAAGATTCTTTTTTGAATACATGCATTTTGGAAAGTAACTATGTATAAACAATAACCGAGCTGGTGGCTCAACCACAGCAGCGGTAATGGATATAATCAGTGGCATACTCGAGAGCCTTGAACAACGGAATCATACAGCTATCACGTTGTGCGACCTCTCGAAAGCCTTCGACTGTGTAGATCATGACATTCTACTGAAAAAATTATATTGTTATGGAATAAGAGGAGTTGCATTTTCACTTTTTGAATCCTACCTGAAAAATCGATTTCATGCAGTTCGTTTCAATAATAGTACATCGGATTTTGAGGAAATGAATCATGGTGTACCCCAAGGATCTGTCCTGGGGCAACTTTTATTTATTATTTATGTTAATGGGCTAAGTAACTCCAAAACTCCCTTCAAATGTGTTCTTTTTGCCGATGATAGGTCATTTATATGTTCGAGTCCAGATAACTACGTCTTATTAGATCGATCTAAAGAAATTGAAAAAAGTTGTAACATGGTTAGAGCCCACAATCTGAAACTTAATGAGGACAAGTCTCAGAGGCCACTCGTAACGACCCGTCAGTGTGAACAACTATACCAGAATGTGAAGCTACTTGGTGTTACTTTAGACTGAATTGGAATGCTCATATTGATCAATTAAAACATAAACTGTCGAGCATATTATTTCTTCTGCGACAGCTCAGGCATATTTCAAACTACGAAACTTTGAGAACAGTTGATTTCTCACTGTTTCAGTCTCATATGGGTTACGCTATTTTACTGTGGGGAAAATCCTCAGCTGCTAATGTTATTTTCATTCAACAAAAAAAGGCAATAAGAATATTAGGTAATCTAGGGTATAGAAATACGTGTAGACCTTTATTCATCAAACTCAGAATCATGACTCTTTCGTCCCTATACATTTACAATTCACTCCTTGAAATACACAAAACATCGTCCAACCTCACTACACATGCTGACATTCACCATCATAACACTAGAAACTCTGAAAAGATCAGACTTCCTAGATATAAGCTTTCTATTTCACAAAAAAAATCTTTAGATTTTAGTCTCAACAATGCAGTGCCTCATCAATTCAAAACGATGAGTGTGAATAAGTTTAAACGAACCATGAAATCGTATTTGCTAAAAAACAGTTTTTACTCAATCAATGAGTAGGTACTTGAAAGATATTCAATGTGTGACCTTTAGCCTCTGAGAACATACTTACCGTTTATGTACTGTTTGTTTAACTGTTTCTTATATTTTTCTTATATTTTTGTATGTTTATGTGATGTGATATTTTGCAATTACTTTTGAAAGTGTAATAGTGTATTACTAAATAGTTTACTCGATATCTTTCGAGACCAAATGACTTGCTATGAATATGCATATGTATATGATATAGTCAAATAAACTGTCTATCTATCTATCTCTGTCATTCGACTCTTGAGTTTTTGAGACCATTCATAGTCAAAGTATTTAAAAAACATTTTATTGTGAGATTTTCACTAAACATTCTTACAAAAACGTAACACGTGTTTCGCCATAGAATGGTTTTTTCGGGCGTGTCTTTACTAACAATATTCCACATATTCAATGCCTAATATATCTAGTTTTACAATTAGAAGTAGGTACCTGAGTTTTACCTAAGTTTGTAATGAATTGAATCATCTTAACTTATTTCCCAATTTTCACATTTGAAAAATATTTAGTAACGGGGAGTTATTCAATTTCAATTGATCATTCAGTAAATTAGCCGAATTCCTGATTCTATTGATTTCTGAATATCCTAGAAGATTGAGTTTCAAACTCTTCTCTACTAAATGTAACACGTCGTATTCATGATTGAACTCATGTCCTTCTGCTGAAAGGTGGTTTGCAAATGTGGAATTGGTCTTTCTATTCTAAAGAGTAGTTTTGTAAATAGAAAGACCAATTCCACATTTGCAAACCATCTTTTAGCAGAAGGACATGAGTTCAATAATGAAAGCGACGTGTTACAGTTAGAAGAGAAGAGTTTGAAACTCAATCTTCTAGTAAGTTTAGAAATCAATAAAATCAGGAATTCGGGTAATTTACTGAATGAACAATAGAATTGAATTACTCCCCTTTACTAAATATTTTTTCAAATGTGGAAACTGGGACATAAGCTCAGAAATTTTAATTCATCACAAACTTAAGTAAAAATCAGGCACTTGAAATGTAGGTACGGCTAATTGTAAAACTAGATATATTAGGCATTGAATATGTAGAATATTGTTAGTAAAGATACGCCCGAAGAAACCATTGTATGGCGAAACACGTGTTGCGTTTTCGTAAAATTTTTAAGTGAAAATCTCACAATAAAGTGTTATAGATTTTCATCAAGTATCGGCCAATTCCATCATATACATCTATAGTCAATTTTATATCGATACTGAACAAAATAAGCTCTACTGATACTTTTGATATTTCAGAGGAAACCGGTTAAATTTATAGAATGCCCTTCAAAAATTAAGAAAATGTGGTTTTGAAGAAAACCCTTGGAAGAAGTAACGGTTGCTGATAAAAATGAGCATGCCGAAATGGAAATGTGCCGAGAAAATTGTATTTCTAACAAAAATTTTAAACTGATGGAGATTACTAGTATCGACGAAAAAGAGAACTCATTGCCAAATGATCTAGAGAAGGCAAAGAGTCTTCCTTCAGATAAGAGAGAAAAATCATGTATTCTGAAATGTGATAGAACTTTTGGAAATAATCAGGAATGTTCGGGCGCATCCCACGATAAAGGGAGATAATTATATGATGTGGTAATTCTCTATGCCCAATCCATGAAAAAACTTCTCGTTTTTATCTGGATAACTTGCTTGTGAAGAGATGAGGAAGTTTTACCAAGAGCATTCCAGAACATACCGGTATATTCTGGAATGTTTGAGAATGGTGTGAAACGTTCGAAAATATTCCGAAACATACCAGATCATTGTGAAACATCTCAGAACAGTCTTTATTACTGTGGGATGTTTTGGAACATTGTGGACCATTCGAAGTCCTTTTAGTGTGGATGAGGCTCCCAATTGATAAAGATATATAGAGCAAGTTCCGTTGACTCCTTATGATTAAAATCTGTTCACTAAGGAAAACAAAACCAATGCATTTGGAACCTTTCTTCATCAGATCTGACCCAATTGTTTGTCAGGCCGCCTAAAATAATTTTCTTGTGTGATAGTTTCAATTTTGCAACAACTTCTAAAAAATTCATTTGAATTACATGGCAAAAGGTAACTAATATAATGTGTATAAAATGCTTAAGGCAAGTAACGCATTTATTCAATAAGAAATTATATCATCTCCGTCTAAATGGTTCTCCAATTACTTACCAATTTATATGTTACCATTATTTCAAACATTGAAATGGATCTCATAAGCATCCAGTGAAAGATAGGCATATGCCATCGCGAACTTTTTTTGTAAACTCATAAAATAACAATATCTAGTGAATTGTTTTATTAAATGTTAAAGAGCAGCGTTTTCGATGCAAGCTCTCAGTCTGATGTCATCACTCGAGGGTCACCCTGTACATAACAGAAAGTGATAATAAACAACAAGGTCGGATATGACATAATAAAATGAAAAAATATGCTGTCTGGTGTCAGTGACCAAAAACTTATTTACTAGAAACTGTCCACGTCGATATGGATTTTCGTCCCATGTCAGTTGAATTTATTTATTCATTCATTCAATTTTCGTGAAATTATACAAAATCTAATTCAAAAGTCAAACTCTAGAGGTTCAATTTATACTAAAGACAAGCACATTTGCAAATCGTAAACCAATCGGAAAAACCAAGATATATTCTATAACTTTCAATGAAGTAAGAATCTCCACTTCTGCAACAATCTCAATAATCACACACTGGAGGCTTCTGGCAAAAATATAAGTTATCTTTGATAATAAATATGGCAACAAGGCAGATGCAGGATTGTTGAATAACTGAAACTGAATATTTATGTAGGACGCATGAATAACTTCATTGTATACAATTAATATACAATGGATTCAACAAACATAGACCAATAAAAGGTATCGCGAATGATAAAAAAATGAAAGAGAAATTAATATTTCAGATTCAATGAAAAATAC